AGGTATTTTATTGAAGCTTGATATTGCTTTTAATGCTAAACATACGTGAAGACACAATTCAGGGGTGGCTGTAAACAACATTTGTCAGCTGGACATCCAATCAGCTGTCCAAAGATCTACCTCTTGTCGCAGAAGTCGCACGGGAAGGGCCGCTCGTCACAGTGGCGAAATCTGATGTGGATCTTCAGAGCTGCCAACGTGGTGCAGGTCATGTCACAGAAGGGACACTTCACCTGGTTCACTGGAATAAAAGAGAGCAACAATTAGATATAATACTTGCCAAATATGTCTGTGTCTATGGTTTGGACATTGTTAACTCTAGGGACATTATTATTTTCATTAGCCCTTCACTGTCCGGCAGTGGCTCAGTCAGTAGGGGCTTGGATTGTGAGCCGTAGGGTCGCCGGTTCAAGTCCCCGAGCAGACCTAAATATGGAGTGTGGACTGCTACTTGGAGAGGTCCCAGTTCACCTCCTGCCCTGCCGTGGTGCCCTTGAGCAAGGCACCGGACAGGTAACAAAGTTGTAGAATAGATTTTAGAAAATGCTTACCATGCTGACGAACATGATCCCTCAACAGCCTCTCGTTGGAAAAAGCTTTGCCACAATGTTCACACACCAGTGAATCTGCTCAAATTAGAGGTAAAGGAACAGAATTCAGTATACAGGCAATACTATCAGATCTATCTGCATCGTGGAAATAATGAAGAGTCCTTCACCTATTGGCTCGGCCTGCCTGTGCAGGTGGTCGAACAACTTAGTGTTGCTGGAGAACATGCTGCCACACGTCGGGCAAGCCACCAGTCTCTCCTGAGTGTGGCTCCGCATGTGCTCCCTCAGACGGTATCGGATTTTGAAGGAAGCATCGCAGCCTGTAAAAGAAATATGAGGTTCAGATAAGGTCAAACATAAAGGCTCAATTCCAATCCAACTCCAACATTCTCCCCCTACCCATTTCAACACCGTTTGCACCGTTATAAAACCCTCAAAGAGCGAGTCTGCATGGGTCCTGACTTAATAACCTGCAATACCTGACCAAGTGCAACACTGTTTGTGTCAGACATAAAACACATTGTGTCCATAGTTCCATTGTCATACAGATGTTAACAACTTTAAGATGACCTTGTATTTTTTTATACTTCATCTGGTACACAGCAGATGTGTGCATTTGATTGTCAAGTTGTTTGATATTTACAGGTACTGTTGCAAAAAAGGCTCATAAACATCTGATTTAGCAAAAAAAGGAACGCCTTTAAAGATTTTTGGTGGTTTATTATAATTATAACGTATAATTGTTTTGCCCGAGAGAAGCTGATTCTCAATCATTGTTGCAAAAGTTCCGTTTTGTTTTTGCCAGGAGAGAGGGGAGATGTTCCAAAGCGTACTGCTGTATCTCCACCCTCCACCTGAATAAAAGGAGCCTCCTTCAGCAAGTAGTAGTATGACTACAGATGGAGTTCACTCTGTCACAGAGAAGGAGTGTGTAGGGGATGCTTTTGAATTGGGCTGAAGGTATAATAGGAACATCTCATTGATCTGTTTTGACTTTGTTATACCTGTCCAGGGGCATAAGAAAGTCTGCTGCTGATGAGGGAGGGACTGTGGCTCAGCACTTTCAACGTGATTGTCCACGTGTCGGTAAAACCACTCAGGATTGTTAAATGTACTCTGTGTAAAAGAAGAATATAACTTAATTAATATTGGTGCTATCAATCATTTGATAACCAATGGATCATTCTAATTTAAAAAGAAAAACCTACATCACAGTGTTCCCATTGGCAGACGTATCCATCCGACCCTTCAGGAACCAGGTTGCTGCTGTGCAGACCTTCGTTGCAGGTGGGTAGGTCGGGGCGGGACTTGAGAAGCTTCGCCCCGACGAACTTCAGCTTACCGTGATAGTTGTGGAAGTGAGCGTGGACCTCCAGCTCCGCAGGGCAGCCCATGGCTAGAAATTGACACCCTTTCCAGAGACAAGCATACTCGTCTAAACAAAGAAAGGGAAGGAGTTACAACTGCCGTTTAGAAATGACTGTTTTTGTGTACAGGGATTTCGCTGAGATTTGATTGAGTAGGTCTGGGCAATCACCTAAACATTTACAGACATAAACCTTTATGACTAGTATATTTCTTCAGACTAGTTGTTGCCCTATTGCAAAAAAGCACAGTGTTGTTGTCCTACATTGTAACCCAGAGACACTGTAAATAAGTGTGTACACATGTCGTTAATGCATTTTAAGTTACAAAAGATAACATTTTCCTTATCTTCTGTAGTTAGCACCATACATAAGCAATACATTAGCCTATAGTAAGACTAACAACACTGACCTGGTGTGCACATTGTTATAGATGATTTAGAATGAGTTGTCCTAACTACATAAAGGTTAGAATGACTGAAAGGTCATATTTATTTCCAGCCCTGCATGTGACATAGCATGATCCTTTAGTTTGTCTTGTATGATCCTCAGTTACTCACCAAGCTCCTCTAAGGCGTCGTTGTCTCCCAGGTAGTCCTTTAAATGCAGAGCCATATGATCGCTGAGCTCCTCCACGGTGCAGCCCCTGAAGTCGCATGAATCCCACTCACACATCACCTCAAAATTGTCTAGTCTCTTAGTTGTCATCATGATGGTGATTAATGTGAGCTCAGCTGCTGCTAACAATCCTGACCACCTAAATGAGAATCAGAATGGGTTAGTTAGCATATGATAATAGCAAGATGTTGAAATGTAAACACCGGTTAAACAGACATAACCTAAAGTTAGCTGAGAACTGATTCTCTTTTCTGACTGAAAGCTGCACTAACTAAAATCCATTTGGAGTGGCTTTTTATCCTCATTTAGAAAATAGTGTTTTTTCAAATGCTGATTATGTGTAGTAAGTAGCCTGTTGTGTTAATCTAGCTAAGAGTTAGCATGTTGTCTAGCTAACGCTGAACCTGTCACTGGTTTGCACTCTGTCGGACTTTTCCTAAAAACAGCAAACGTATATGGTTTACAGTTTGACATCTTAATGGTCGATTTGTAAACACATACTTATGTTTCTGTTGTTATACACGACGTTAAATAAATGGTTCTCTTACGAGTATGAATGTCCCTGGCTGCAGCAGCTGAGCCTCTTCCCTCCTCTCAGCTTGTCTGGCTTTGTTTATTTCCGGTCACTCACTATCATCCTTCTTCTTCGCTGGTAAAAATGGCGGCTAGCATCCCAAATATTGCTTTACCGCCCACTACTGGATTTAATCTAAAACTCTACTTAGTAAATACAATAATAAAAAACCTCCTTCCCACCAATTACTCACTTTGTTATTAATATTACGTCTTTCATTTCAACATATCCTTGCTGCACATGTATAGTTTATCAGATTGCCATTATAATCCACCAGTACAATTATCATTACCCTTGCCCAAAAGGACAAAACCTAACCTGTTCTTCACAATTTAACACTGCAACTGTTAAATACAAGAATAAAAGTAACAGGGCAGTGTAAATATGATACATTTATTCAATAAGGCAGCATCAAAATACTAATACATAAATAGCAACAGTGGTTTTTTTTTCATGTAGTGGGAGTTTGTATTCCTGACATAGCAACCATGACCATGGTTACTGCAGTATGAGGCACTCCCACACTTGCCATGTTGTGATAATAGGTTTATTTTCCTGGTAGCTATTTGGATGTACATGTTAACAATAGAGATCCGAGCCAGGGAAGTAGAGAGATAATCACACCATCCAGCAAGGGGACACCTTCAAGAACTTGATGTTGCAAAGATGGAAATCTAATTTACTTTGCTTGGCATGCGGAAACCTTACTTTGTATCCAGTTTACATGATGCTTTGAGATTGTGTAAGAGATCCTATCCACTAGAGGTCATAATTTGCTGATCATCAGCACCACAATATGCAATGTGTTGTGTGTCAAGAAATACAATATTTTTACAAGGGTGCTTGTCAAAGAATGGTTTGGTGCAGACTCATAAACCCCTACAGCGCTGTTGTTTAGTTGAACATTTACATGTTATGATTATTTAGGGTTCTTTTGTTCCCTTTTTGAAACTGCAAGTTAGTTTTTCCACATAAAAAAATGTACACCACTAAATCATGTAGAATATTTAATATCAAGTATATCAATTCTCTATTGAACCCTTTTTAACACAATAAAATAACCATGTAGGTGGAGCTGTATCCAGCCAGACAAGTCTTTTATAGAAGGGATGGAGCTTAGGCAGACCCAGTGCCATTACTGAGCTGTTATTCAATATTTTATGCTGTTCTGCGAACATAAGGGCCCATAACAACTGAATTATTCATGCAGTTTTATGTCAGGATGACTGATTCACAGGGAAATGACCAGCAGCAGCCATGAGCTAGCTAGTGCATGAACTGAAAAAAACGATAAAATAATATTTTCACTTGGACTTTGAATCTTTGTTTCTTCATATGGGAATATTTGTGCAATTCCCACATCTAAAGAAAAAAGAGAGAGTGCTTGATTTGGCTTCTGGAGGGCTGTGAGAATAAAATACATGGTTGAAAAGAAAGGTTTTCCAAGGTCTTTTTGAAAAACTAGGTTAGGTCGATTTTGTATTATCTGCTTTATAGCCCCATGTATACTGCTATTATACATGCTATAAATTAAATGGTTACCTTTTTAATTTGAAAACTTAAATAACTAATCATTACTGTAGCATCCACAATCAGCTTCACCAAATGCAAATAAGATATTAAACAAGAGGGGGTTTGCTTGAACTAGAAGGGAATAACTAACAACAGCTCTGCCAGATTTAGAAGCCCCCCTGCCATTTTATACACCAGGAATCTAGAGTAAAATGCTTTTGTTTGCTTAATCCTTAATTTAAATGTTTTGTTATTTTACCACATTTACACAACTCAAAAATCATTTTTATTTAGATTATGGGTGTATATTGTTTTTTAATTTACAAAATATATATAAAAAACACTAATACTATATAGGGTAGAATAAGTCAGAACACAAGCTGTTAGTATCATCACTTTATTCAGAATTCAACCAGAGCAAGCTGAGAGAACAAGCACAGTTTCACGTCTGCAGCGGTATGACGTTGTTATTTCATAATTTCCCTCTGGTTTGATGCCACGTGTGGCCCAAACCAGACAGCATATAGAATGAGCGATTTAGCACCAGGGTGTTGGAGTGTGTAGCAGCAGGTCTTATGGTTAGGTCAGACATGGTGCTAGCAGGCAGCAGGCTGTAAGGTCATACACATCAAAACTTTCAGGCTCACACACGGAAGCTTAAACTTGAAGCAGACTCACGGTGGGTAGTGCTTGACTGGGCTCTCACACACTGCAGCCATGTTTGCCACCACAGGTAAGTAAAAACCCCTCATGTCATGTTCACAATGAACAGGTGTGATTTGCGTATTATCAGACAGCAACATTTTAAAAAGCTGAACTTCAAGTCCTGGCCCATTCCTTGTTCTTTCCCACCTGGTGAGATCAGCCCATTCAGAGTGACATTTATTGAGTAAATACAATAGTTTTTCCCTTTTCAGGCCTTTATGCATACGTTTTTTTCTCTCTCATTTATCACAATTACAGCATCACAGATCAGAGGAGAGGACGGAATACAATGTCACAAATACTGAGTCATAAGTACTGCAGTATTCCCATGAAATCAAAGGAGTGGATCTCCATTAAGATTGCCAGAATTGTGTTAGTGGGTACAACCATATTGCTGGTGCATTTAGGTAATAGCTTTATTAGCCACTAGACTATGATTTCGTGTATGTACTTTAGTTTTTTCGGTGTGACCAAAATCTATTACTACGCATGCATTATACTTGAAAAGTTATTTCCCCTAGAAATGTATCTTTAGTTGCTAAATGTAAAATGTGACTGTGTGACATATAGTCTGCTAAAATGTAGCCACTCAACCAAACACAGTGTCCTGCATGCAAGCCGTAGCAATTATATTACACTTCATTTGGTTTCTTGGCAACCAAATTGATAAGACCAGATATCATCCCAAACAATGAAATGAAAACCAGGACCATACAGCAGAGGCACTGTAACTAGGAAAAGCAACCCTAAAACATATGTTGTACTGTCACAACACCTCTTATGTGATAAAAGTCTGAGAGAAACCATCCCCCTGACTTTTTCTACAATCATTTCAAAACTGATTTTAGTTTTTATTCATTAAGACAAAGGTAAAAATTCCCTTTCATACACATATGTGTACTGATGGCTTTTTTTTATGGTTCGATGTCAAACAGAACTCATATAAACAAAGTGCAAATAATGTGCTCAATAATATAATGCGGTTTTGTGCACCAAAACACAAGGGATCACATACTTACATACATCTGAACTCACACACACACTCTCTCTCTGTCACACACACACACTTACTCACATTTTACAGTGAAATGACTTGCATTATTTTGAAAGCTCAACATCAGTGCCCATTTAAAGGTGACTAATATATGACAGGACAGCAAAAACAACAGGTCAGGAAATAAACCAAAGGGAAGAAATGTGCCTAATTCGTCATGTCGCCTTTGATCACACACATAAAAGTGTAGAGAGAAACTTCATTTAGTGGTTTGCTTCAGCCAGTCTATTGCTGATCTCTTTGCTCTTCTTGGTGACGACTCCATCTGGTTTGGGTTCTGGGGTGCCCAAAGACGGTTTCTTCTTGGCTGACAGGGAACTAGCAAGCACCTTCTCTTTTGATTTTTTCACCATCTTCCCTGTTGTTGTTGGTGTCTTTTTTGGTTTGATGCGAGACACCTGAAAGAGAAGAGGGGTGAACATATTGAGATGGACAAAAAAAATGGTTAATTAAACATAAACCTCGTCGGGAAGCCATAGTTTGATAATTTGGGAAATGCAGTTATTTGCTCTCTTGCCGAGAGTAAGTTAAGACAATTGATACCACCTTCATGTCTTCCCATTAAATATGCAGCTGATTAGCTTAGCCTAGCATAAAGACTCAACAGCACCTTCTTGGCTTGGTGCTGTCACTTCCTGGAGAATTTCCATGACAGCCAGACTGGTACGAGAGCCTAGTATTGATCATCTCATCCAAGTCTTGGCAGGAAAGCAAATGAGCGCATTTCCCAAAATGTCAAACTAACCCTTTAAAGAAGTGCTTAATCCATTAAGACTCTAAATAATGTCAAAGTGCTATTTTGGCATGCAAAAGGTACCTTTGTTACCCTGTTACTTAAATGAGGACAGGCAAATGACACCATACGGTATAGGTGATATTTGCATTATGTGGATTAGTGCAATGGAGATAAAATAAAAAATAAACAGCACAAGAGGTATTTGTGCCTTTGCTTTTATAGAACAGTGGTTTGTGCAGTTTTTCTATTGAAATAGAAAAAGAAGAAGAAACCATAACCTAAAGAGTTAGTGGTTTATATTAGTAAAGTATGATGTTAGTCTGTAAAAGAAATGTAATGTTTTGATAACATTCAACTATTAACAGTAGTAGTGGAGGATTAAGAAGCGTGAGACTGGAGGATTGCTGGTTCAAACTCTTCTCTCAAAGGGGTCAATAATGAAAAAGAAATAAAATAAAATCACTGGACATAAATATGCAGTTTCCACAACCCATGTTAATATATTAGTAGTAGACCAAATATGTAGATAGATATGTCACTGTTTCACTTTTCACTTTAACTCATTTCGTACTTCATAACTTAGATGACCAAATATGTATATATGCTGACAGTTATTTTACTCTTATTTGTATTCATCTCCTATTTCATAGTCTTTTATTATTATTATCATTATTATTATTATTTTTTTTTTTTTTATTTTTTATTATAAGACATTTTTTTAGTTTTTTCACGCTTACCCTGTTGCTGCTTTGTACAACTGAATTTCCCCACGGGGATTAATAAAGGTCCATCTTATTTGATCTTATCTTATCTTACACCTACTTGGAAAATTAAGCAAGGCACTCAGCCTCTCCCTGCTCTTGTTGAGTTGAATATTTAAAAATAAACCTTAAAAAAGTATTTATTGTAAGCAATGACAACTGTTTGTAAAGGCTGTAACTGAGAATAAAAGTGAAATGCTCTAATCCTAAGAATAATAGGGGCCATGGTGCTATTTGAAAAAAAGAAAAAGAAAAAGTAAACATATTATGCACCATTCACGATACAGTCCAGATTATAATCAACACATTTACTTTTACTCTTGTATGTGGAGATTGAAGAATGAAATTCATGGCTGCATAATACTGAATTTCAAACTGCTACTACACCAAACTGAAATGAAAAGCTAAAAAGGATAACATCATCCGCTAACAACTGCAATTGGCACAAACACACTGCTGTGCCTTTCTTTAAGTGGTACATTTTGTGTGATATTTTACAAACAAACAAAAAGTATACTTTCCAAATGTAATTGTACCTATACATTGTCTCCAACACAGAGCCATAAACAGTGAAGATCTTTTTATATGTACACTTATGAAATGTCTTGTTGCCCTCTATAATGTATTGAACCCATCTCTTTTGTTTTGATCCTAATCTGTTACTCTCAAGTATAATCTAAATGTACTTGTTTCTTTTATTTATGAATTAATCCACCCTTTTGCTCCATAAATGGTGGTGGGTGATGCAAGCTGAGGTGGGTAAACAGTGAAGATGTGGTTGATACTTTTTGCAGGGTTGCATCCGGCAGCTGGGTGAAATGTGACTGTGGCTCGTACTAGCCAAGGCGCAGACTGTGTGTGTGTGTGTGTGTGTGTGTGTGTGTGTGTGTACAGTATGCAAGTTTTTGCGTCTGATCAAGTTGAGGTCAGCCTCCATGCCTTTTGAAGAAACAGACAACACACCTGACTACAGCAGATTTAGAACAGAGCTGCTCTCAGTCTCTGAGACGTCCTACAAGAATGAGAGAGGGAGTGGCCATATGAACACACTACAGACACATTGTTAACCACTTGTTGTCTGAACTGTCAATCATGCACACGGATACCAATCTATGTGAGAAATAACTTGGAATAAAAGGCATACCTTATTATGAGATGATGTCACTATAATCCAAAAATGGGATGCAATAAATATATTTGTTATTGGTATGTTATTGCTTTTTTTCTTTTTAGTTAACACAGTGTGGCTATTTAAACATTTCACTGTCTGATTTATATGCATGATGGAATAAAATAAGGGCTAATTTTGCAATTTAAAATGAATACAAATTTAGATTTGAAGCTGTTTAATGTGTTCGCATTTAATCAATCACAATGCCAAGCCACAGTATGAAGAATATCATGTACACAGCAACGCTTCTAGTGATAAAGAAGTTATGTTAAAAACAATAAAAACTGACAGTGTTTATCGCAAAGTACTAGACCTAGGTAATTGCAGGGCTAATAAAGTTTAAGACATGACTTAAATTCAAGTACTTAATTGAATAATAGTAAATAGTGTTACCAGTGTCACACAGTCCTCACATCAGTGTTTGGCGCACGCTCTCACCTTGCTAGTTTCCTTGCCCGGCTCATTGTACAGGCTGCGTATCCTCCTGCGGTCGATCAGCTTGTTGTCGGCGGGCTGAGCCTTCACCTGCTCCCCCTTGTATGTGGCGCTGTAGCTGGTCTCACGGCTGCTCTCCTCCACTGGGGGTTTATACTGAGATGGAGCTTTAATGGCCTTCACTGGTTTCACATCCTTATATGCCTTGAACTCAGTCCTAAAAAATGAAATAAGCAAACAGAGAGGTATCTGTGGATGTGATTTATGATCATTTCATTATCAATCAATTTGACAATTACTTCCCTGATTGAGTATATTTTGTGTGAAAGCGAGTGTAGTGAGTCACTACTTTTTAATGTGAAGGAGTTTTGTTTCATGGATTAAGATTCAATATTGGACGGTATCTATGATAAATGATGGGTACTCATCACCGTGAGCAGCTATCTAACTGAAGTCAAAATCTAATTTTCACATGTTCTTTTGAGTTCTGTTAGACGATAAGTCTTAAGTTTGAGTTTTAAGTTCTGTAACACCATAAATGTCAGCATGCATTGACTAGACTTTTGTTCTTATTGCTATACACTAAAATGAATTATCCTTTACTCACTAGTTACTGGTCTTACAGTATATAATAATTCATGAGTTTCTTATTAATTTCTGATATCAAAGCTAGCTTTTAATAGATATTAAGAAAGTATTTAATTGTCAATTTGACCAGGAAATCCTGTTTTCACTTTTTTTTTAAAGCCAAATGCAGATTTTTTTTAATCTCCAATGTTTGCTCACAAAGCACATTGGCACAGGTTGCATGTTTAGTTTATTGGTCAGTTGAGTTAATTTGAAATATTCTCTCTGAATATGTTTCCTTTAACAAAGGCACTGGTACGACAACTTCAATATTTCAGTAGGGCATACTGAAGGCAGCAAGTCTTAACTAAGTTTGCAAGCATCATGCATCCCTAATTAGATTCAGAGGAAGACTGCTAATAAACCAAGTTAAGACACATGATTAAATTCAGACCCTTTTACTGGCTGTACTGGGCTACTGCATTGATTTGGTAGTACTAGAGAGGATAAAGCAGAGACAAATCAATAATGCAAGCTTTATCTGTGGCAATATCAGTTTGATTTGGAAATGCATAGAGTATTAAAAAAACACCATGCAATAACAAATATATCCGTTAATGATCTGATCTTTAAATGTGTCATCACTGCACAGAGGAGCGGTCTGGCACACAGGAAGTCATTCCGTAGGTTAGTTGAAACGCTTTCAGAAATGTGAAAGAAGATAAGTGTACATGATAAGGTCTCGCTGCCTGAGGCTTACCTGTAGCTGCTGGAAGTCACCTGCTTTATCTGCCTGTTGAGAGCGTCTGCAGCCGCTCTGCCTTTTTTCTGCTCAGCGCTCACTTCTGCAGAAACCTGCTCCTCCGTCTTCTCCACAGTTTGTCTCTCTGCTGACTTTTCCCTCTTTCCGCTCTTCTTCGTCGGCTCGTTTGACTCTTTCTCCTGTGTTTTCTCTTCGATCTCGCTCTTCTCCACGCCGCTCTCCACCTCGGGGGCCGCTTGCTCCTGTTTTCCGCCCCCTGCGCTTCGCTCTGGCCCCGCGGAGGTGGGGCTGGGTTTGGGGATCCAGGGGTGGTCGTTCTTCTTCGCTATAGGCCAGGCCTTATAATCCTTCTGGTACTGAGTTTCGTTGTTGAACGGGGCCGCCGAGCGCTGCAACTCATTCCTGGGTTTACAGCTGGGCTCGGGGCGAACTCTCCAGGCCTTGAAGTCTTGGCGCATGACAGACGCAGCAGAGCCATCTTTTCCCGCTGCGGCACCCGTCGCGGGCGGTGCCTTCCCGGGCTCCTGCTCACCGGAATGAGGCTGGGTTTCTATGGCAATGGCCCCGGCCCTCTTCAGCCTCGGCTGCGGGTGATGGGGAAGATGCTGCACCTCGCCCACATCCGAGTATTTGGTAAAAACCAAAGGCACCGCGATGTCCCCTTTGTCCAGCTCGGTCCAATAGCGGTTGATGCAGCAAGCACGCGTGAGGCACGGCCATGCCATGATGATACAAAAACAAGAAGGCTGGCGAGAAAAAGATGCGCAGAAAAACTCTAGATGACGGATTGACGTGCAAATGAACGTCCTACTCACGATTCGAAGACTTGCATAGGCTTGGTCCCTGTAACCTCTCAGATTTTGCCCCGTCAGTTGTTTCTTCTTAAAGCTCTATGCAATTCACACCACTCTTTGCCTGATATTAGAGAAAGTAGATCCCCTCCTGCAGGATATTTGTTCTGACTGAAGTTTAAATGGACTTTGAGGCGTGCACATTGCTGTCTAGTTGCGCATCAAAGCGACCCCACCCACATTTGTGTGTAGCCGAGATGCCCGGTTTGTGTGAGTGAGTTTGCAGGGTGAACTATCACCTGAGCTCGTCACAGTCTGGCCAGCAGAGGGAGGAGACACGGTTAACCCCGTGCTGCCATGTCAGAATAGGCCGATTTACAACGACAGGGGATGTAACAGTAGCCTGCTGTGGTTCCATGGAGAGGAAATGGCCGATCATGATGCTGTGAGGGGCGGAATAAAGATTCACTTTTACAAGCTGTAATTCTGAAATCCATATTTATTTTGGCATCCTTCTTTAAAATAAAGATTTTGACTAGATGGATTACATGCAGTTTAAGAGCAATACAAATAAAAACAGTTCGCCACAAAGCTGACTCATTTTGCTTTTTGTACAAATTATTTTATTAAACCAAACTGAAGAAATAACATTGTGAAAGTATGTGATACCTGACAAGTTATTGAATACTTTGTGTGACATCCAAAAGGGCACCGTTTCGATATGAAAATAAATGACATATACACATACTGGCCTTTGTAACAATCCAAAATATGTACACACATGTATAAGCTTTTTTCCCCATTGACCGTGAATTCAGGCCTACATCTTATGTTGGTGTAACTACTCCTTCTTGTGCTGTACTGTAGATCAACAGGGCCAATTGACTTCATCATGTAGACTAAAAGCACACATTGAAGAAATGTTACAAGTGAGCCCTTCATGCCAGGTAATTTGTGGAGCAAACTCATATACCAAATGTATCAGATAAAATAAAGGCTGTAGGAAAAAAAAATAGCTGCAAGATACTTAATATCACAGCATCATTACATAGGAGGCTATTCTAATAACAAAACAGCCTGACAAAGAATCAGAACTTGGAATATTTACACATCATTCTCTTCACTCTGGACATTTTGTGGTGTAGCATTTTCGTTCTTCTTCAGTCTTCAGGTAATGTTCAATTATTTCCACATTTTCTTTTTATGCCAAATTTACTTACTTATTAACAATGCAAGATTTAGCTGTACACCATTATTTTTAACACATACACTGATACTACACTTTTTTTGTTTTACTGGGATCATGGACTGAAAAACAAATGACACTTAATTAACACAACATATTTGCATTATAATCATTAAGAGTGCGTACGTACACCCTAGCACAAATGAGCGACCAAAAGAAGATGTGTGACGGCATATTTGTACCATCCATTTTCGTCCAAATTCGGCTTCTTTGCTGCTTCATTTCATCGCAGCGTCTTCCTCTGCAACTTCCTCGGACTGTGCCACTGCCTCAGCCTCGGCCACTGCCTCAGACTCTGCCTCAGCCTCTGCAACTTCCTCAGACTCTGCCTCGGCTTCAGGATCATCCTCAGGATAGAGTCTGCAATATTTGTCTACCATGACATCCAAGTCATGTTTAACATGAGTGTTAACATTTAGCATCGCCAGACTTTTGTTCCACTGCTTACTGGACATGCTGTCAAGGTAAGCCTGCAGACGATCACTCGCTGTGTCACTTTTATTGTCCTCTAGTTTCAAAGCTGGCAGGGCAGAAAGCACCTTGAGGAAGGAGTTTACGTTTGGGAAGAACTTGACATCTGGCAGCTGAAGGGTTTCATGGATGGTGGTGGGCAGGCGCACCTCTTTGCCCCTGTGCTTCCACTTGATCCTCCAGCAGTGAAGCTCCGCAGGAAGTGTGTCTGGGCTGGGGAGGTCGGTGCGGTAAACTTCTGCATAGTTCTCCTCTGTTGTGTTGAACTTCATCTGGCCCATGACGGCTGGGACCAGTGACAGGCATTTCAGAGCTTTGAGGTTGGTCTCGGAGAACATGTCCTCCACCTCCTGCATGACGCCATGGATAACGGGGACGGTCACATACTCCTTAAAATACACTTCTGCATGGACTTCCCCCGCATCAGCTGCACGCTGTTTCCTAAGAAACAGCCTCGGCACATTCACAGGAATCTCCATTACATTGGCCACGCTCACAGCCTCCTCGTACCAGAACTCGTGGTAGACATCAATGTTATCATTGACCTCGTTTAGTGAATGCAGCACTGCAGTGAGACTGTTTGCAGCAAAAAACACATCAAGTGTTTCCCCTTGGAGATTCCTCCCGAAGGCTCTGGTGAATGTGAGAACATTCTTTAAGATGATGATGGTGACGATGATTTCAAAGTCCGACAGGGTTTCTGTGATTGAATATGCGTCTGCTGTGACAGCATCAGAAAACGTTCCATCATCATTGTCACGAATGCTGTCCATGCACAGCAGCAGGGGGGGGCAACATGTCTAGCAGCACATCAAAGACACTGTGCTTCTCTGTCCATTCTGATCCACAGGCTAGTTTTAATGTATTTCCTTTCTCTTCATTTTCTTGGTAGTGAGTAGAGATGGCTTTCTCAAGCTCTTCCTGGGCAAACGGGGTGCTAAGGAAAACTTTGACCCTCCTCAGAGTCTCCATGACCACCTGGACGTTAGGAAAAGGCAGACTGTTGGCCAGGTGGATGTTCAGCGCCATATGAGAACAAGGCATGTGCAACGCCAGGGGATACTTCTGCATCAGTAATACTGCCACAGCTTTCATCTTGGTGGTGGAGGTCCCGGTAGCCTTGTGGGCTTGACCGCGGCATTCCTCCATGCTGAGCCCCCAGCGGTCAGTCAGCTGGGCCTCCAGCCTCTCTACCAGTGCATTCTCATCACCATCAAATGACATAAAGTCCAAAAACTCCTCACGAAGGACATTTTGCTGGTTCACGTAGCGTAGAAACAGAGGCAGGTGTTTCTCGTTGGCAAAGTCCACAAGGTCACCCGTCACCAAGGAGAAGAAGCGGCTCTCTCTCACCTCCATCAGCATCTCCTCTCTCACTGTGTTTTCACAGACGTCCAACAGCTGGCTCTGCTGGGTTGCAGAGAGGTATTCAGTGTTCACAGCTGTTGCCTGAAATCGCTTCTTCAGAGCTTCATCTCCAGCGTTCATGCGGTAATCTACAAGGGCCTGGAGGTTGCTGGACACATGTTCGGCTTCAGATACCTTGCAAGCTACTATTGGGATGCTTTGTTTTCCTAACATAACCACAACCTCAAACAAGGACCGCAGGTGGTCACGAAACTCCTTCTCCTCTGTGGACAGTTGAGGTTCATCCTCATTGATGCTTGAGCTGTCCTCAACAGCTCCATCTTTTTTGGAAGCAAGCTGCTCAATAGAAGATGCCACTGGGGAAAGACAAACAGACCAAATGTAAACAGTGATCATTTTCAGTAAATACTTAATAAAATAAACATTATTTTTCCTTAATGACCACAAAATATATTTCCTATTTACTTACATCTCCTTTCTTTAATCTTCCTTAAATCTTCTTCAGTCTAAAATGAAAAACTCAGGTCATTTACAAAAAACAGACAACAGTTTGTGAACTATCATGCTTAAGAGGTTAATTTAAAACAGCGAAACTATTACATATTTTCCTTACAAGTTCTTTTATTCGCTTGCGATGTCTGTTATGAGGATTCTTTAGATGGCTTGTCAGATCAAATATGGTTGGAATGGCTGTGTCCTTCAATACAGTCCTGTAGGGGCTCTGAAAGACAATGCAAATTAAAAGAAATTGGGATAATCCCATTTTTGGGAAAATAAGTAGAAATGTTAGACTTGTTTGAGATACTCACGGTTTTGCACACCATCGCAGGGTCGAAGTGTTTGGCACATAATCTGTAGTGCTTGTTCAGCTGGTCTGACGTTTTTGCCTCTAAATCTGCTCTGCGGCAGTTCTCTACCCAGTTTTGGCATCTAAAGGAGACACATAGCAGCTTTATGAGACATCCAAAACAAATATGTGCTGAGACAGGTGGCTCTGTCTGTAAACACAACTTATATCAACTTATATTATCCATAGTATGTGCTCCCATACAATGATTGCATGTGCAATACAATATTGTAATAGTTATAGTAATAGTAATAGTTCATCCTGGCAAGGACAAGAAGATTCGGAGACAGTTTCATCCTGGCAAGGACAAGAAGATTCGGAGACAGTTTCTTCCCGCGGGCAGTGAGACTGTTAAAAAATTGAACTGTTGAAACAACATCAAACATTCATCTGCTACTCAGTAGTATGTATCTAATACCTAATATATATATATCATTCCAATAACTTGTATATAGACTCGTACTGCACTATTCCACATCATAACTTTATTTCATTTTTATAACTATTATTATTTTTGTATTGCTCATGCTCTTATTGTTATTATGTTATGTTATTATGTTGCATTGTTGGAGAAGCCTGTGACATAAGATTTTCAACTGCATAATTACTCTGTAGCTATGTCAGATTGACAATAAAGAACCTTGAACCTTGAACAGTGACAGGGAATATTTTTCTGCATTGTGTTCTTTTACTTTTAGTTACATTTTCCTAATTATACTAAACATTTTGTTGCAGAACTTTTACAAGAGTTGTAATTGTATAGTGTGGTATTAGTACATTTTAACTTCTGACACACTTTCTCTACCACGGCACTAAAGTAGACCTGGCCATTCAACAAAAACAAGTCAGATATAACGCCGATAGATAGATGTGTCACCTAATTTAAGTCAAACATTACTCTCTGCAAAATATATTTAGATAAGTATTTTTAAAATGAATAACAAGCCTAGACCCAACATGAAAAACGTTTCTCTCTGTAAAGCTTTGGTTAGTTCGTTTGCCAGCTTTGCAAATGTTATGATCGTTGAGCTCTCACTGAATTATCACAGTTTGCATTCATGTTAAGGGTTACATGGAGGTTTCAGTCTGTTTAAGTGGGTGACTCTAAAATATTTCCTTCCTACCTTTCTGGGTCCCGTGGAAAACGAAAAAATGCCAAATCTGACTGTGTGCTCTTCCCTGTACAGTTTGGGGCCGCGCAAAAATTCGGCATGCTTCAAGCTAGGTAGTTAGCTTAGCTAACCTAACTTAAGCGCTTTCCTTTACTTAATC